TTCGGCGCAGCATCGCTGCAGGGGCAAAATGTTGGCCTGCTGAGCATCGAGCAAGCCCTCGCCGATTACGCAGTGCTCATCACGTGGCTGAAGGAGCAGTACCAAGCGCAGGACTCTCCTGTCATCGCTTTTGGAGGCAGGTGAGGGCCTCTCTTCTCCCTCTGGGTGCTTCTGAGTTTTCTAGCAAAATATTGGGTACCCCGCAACGCTCTGCTGGCATCACACCCTTTAGTTTACCGGTGGGGGGGGGACAGAGAACGAGGGACCTAAGATTCTCCCTCTAGCCCAAGTCTTGACGGATACAAATTGCTTCTGAGTGTTTCTGGTGGAATTAAGCCAGCGCAGGCAATCTGTTTACACAGCGGAAAGCAAAGCCTCTTTCAGAGCAAAGGGTCTCCTTTTTGTCCCCTTTTCTTAGCCTTGCAGCTCTGCCTGCTATATTTTGACTCTCCCAGGAACACTGACTCCACATTTGGAGGTCAAGGACCTCACACGGCTGCAATCCCTTTGTCCTTTCAACGAGCCAACAATCCTATCGTATCTTTCCTCTCTCCGAGAAAATAACAGTCTTCTCGTTATCCCCTTTATAGTTACGGAGGAATGCTCAGCGCATACATGAGATTGAAGTATCCCAACCTAGTGGCTGGTGCCCTCGCTGCCAGCGCCCCTGTGCTGTCCACGGCTGGGATCGGAGACTCCAGGCAGTTCTTCAGGGACGTCACAGCGGTAAGAAAAGGCGGCTTGGTTGGTTCACTTTTTCCTGCTCAGCAAAAGAGGGAGCACCCCGGTCGATCTGAAATAATCCAGTCGGCTTCCTGAATCAATGCAGGAATTTTGTCTCTTTCCTCCAGGACTTTCAGAACTACAGTCCGGACTGCGTCAAGGCTGTCCGAGAAGCGTTCCGACAAATCAGAGACCTCAGCCTGGTCGGAGGTAAAGGGGGTAGCTCTGAGTGGGAGGGAACAGCCTTTGGGACAGACACTTTAGGGTGTGAAGTCTCGGGCAGTCTGAGACCAAATATGTTGCTGTGTTACTGTTGACCAGAAGTGTTTAAACCAGAGAGGCTGTTGGTAGAGGATACCAGTTCCAGCATCGGCTGTTTTGGGTGCAAAAGAACAGGTTAAATGTTGCTGTTGAAAACCCCTCATCACGATTAAGCGCTAGGTTGGCTTTACCAGTATCTGTATAACTTGGCTGCCCCTGAAGAGCCGTAATGGGTTGCCATTCCCAGCACGCTTACAAGGGAGCAAGCCTGCTTGAACGTGGCAGGGTGGGACTTGCTTTTGAACAGCCGTGTACAACTGGGCATCCCTCTCCTCTGCATTAAGCTTATGGGAGAATCAGCACGGAGATGGCCCTCTGCAACCAGCTTTCAACTAAAGAGGACATCGGCCAGCTGTTTGAGTTTGCCCGGAACGCCTTCACCATGATGGCTATGATGGATTACCCTTACAAGACCGACTTTATGGGCCACTTTCCAGCAAATCCCGTCAAGGTAAGGGCTCGTGCGTCTTCCCTACCGATGTCAACCTGCGTTCCAGGGTTATTCCTGTCTGCCGCTACGGATGTATGGCCTTAAGCCCGGTTTGTCGCTCAGGCTCTGTGATATAACCAGCTTGGCAACAATAACCCCTATGTGGTGGCGATATCACTTCAGTGCGGATGTAGTCATTTTAAAAAAGGCAGTAGCAAGCTACACACCCAAACTTTTTAACATAACTTTGCCCAAGGCTGGTACATGTTTGCCAAAGGGTAACCAAACAACAGTTCTTGCTCGCTCTTTCCAGAGAACCTTGAACTAGTAAAACGAGACTGCTGTCCCTCCCCCCCAGAGAAACTTCAGCAGGAAAGTAGTTCAGCCTTTTCAGGTGGTACTGGAATTGATGGACCTATGCAGGACAGGACCAAAGAGAAATTTGGGGTTGGTGGCTTTTCCCTTTTTCAATATTTCTGGTGCAGATAATACAAGCACTTTGGACTTTGGGCCACAAAGCATAAGATTAGCACCAGTAGGGTTACGGTATGATTTGATGCTGGAATGAAACCCCAAACTAACTGGAAAATAGGTTATATTGGGTCAGCTGGTGGACCTGGCAGGTAGGCAGACCTTTCTGTTTGGGGGAAAAATGCCTCCGCTACTCCTCCGGTATCTAGAAGCACTCAGTTGCTTTTGATTATGGGGGCGCTATTGAGGAATTGAGCCCAGGCATGTCTGTTAATTCAGGTTGGCTGTGAACTGATGCTGGCCAGTAAGGATCCAGTCAGAGGGCTGGCAGCTCTTTCTGGTGAGTAAATACTCAGTTTTGTTCTGTGAATGCTGCATTTCTCCAGGGTTGGGGCCTCAGAGCAAAACTGTTGCCAGTTCATTTCCCCGAGGGTCACCCAGAAAAAACCCTTGGGTCAGAGTTTTCCTCTAGCACGCTGAGCGGGTCATCTGAAGGCCCCTCTCTCTGCGGTTCTCGCGGGCTTGCAATCCAGCGTGGCACATGAACGAAGCAGCAGGCGTGATCCGCCAGAGCCCGGGGCAAACAACCGACCTTTTCCCACGTTCTCCTGCTGGGGTGGCAGACCCAGACACCGTCCTCTTTACTCCTCCGCCGCAGAGTCCCTCCGCCCGTGACGTACAGCTGAAGCTGAGTCGTGGTGAGGCTGAAGTGGCAAAGGTCGATGGCCGAGAGATGGAGCCGGGCCCATCGATCGGTGGCAGGGCAGTAATACTCCGCCTCACTCACAGGAACCCATTCCTGGGCCTACAAAGAACCACGGCAGGTCAGGAGGGCGAGGCAAAGAAAGTCTGAACTTTAAAAGGGAGAAAGAAAATACCCACGTACGTTTGTCAGAGCCCTTCCTCCGAGGCAGAAGATTCTGTCTCCCACTGTTGCCATGCCATGATCGCAGCGGGCAAAAGCCATCGGCCGGTTCCTGATCCAGCAGCGTAGGCGGGAGAGGTAGCTGTACATGGTGCACAAGGTCTGGCCCTCAGCAAAGCCCCCTAAGGCCGAAGGGAAAAGGGTTGGTGTTCTGCAGGGCTTCCTACAGGCCTGGTCCTCCCGACTGCCCCCTGGCCACAGGCGGCTGAAGACTTGGAAGCGGGGGCTGCCCCAACCTCAGGTGCTTCCCGTTCCAGAGTAGCCAGTGCCAAGCCTTTTTCCTGAAGCCAGGCTTCTCTTGAGAAGGGGGCTGCTCTTTGCCAAGAAGCGACGCTTTCGCACCTGAGATGTACAAGATGCCCCTGTGGGTCGTCCCCGCGTGGTCGGCCACTGGCACCGGAAAGGGCGTGAGGGGCCACCACTTGTTCTTGGCCGGGAGGTACTCCTCTGTTGTGTTGGTCAGCGTCCCCAGCAGCGCTCCACCCCCCACAGCCACGAGTCGCTCGTTCAGCACCCCTGCGAAGAAGCGGGTCCTCCGGACCAGCAGGCTCGCCAGCTGCAGCCACGTGTTGTGGCGAGGGTCAAACCTGAACACCTGGAGGTAGAAGAGGGAAAAGGTCACGGTTAACCCCCTTGCACTCCTAGGAGATGGGGAGAGCACTGTTGGAGAGAAGCCTCCCACTTCTTCCTTTCGGGGAGACGGAAGTCGACCAGGCAGTCTGCCTCGCCACTATTAGCTATAGCAACGTTACGAACAGAGCCGCTGTGTCCTTGCAGGGAAATTTACTCTCCTCAAACTACTCCTTTGGCCTCTTGCCACTCACAGGCTCTTACCCTGAAGAAAATAAAATAAAAAGTCACCAGCACGGAGTCTTTGTAGGGCCAGGTTGGTCACGTTACCCTTACCTTGTTTGAAGGATGCTGGCCTGTCGGGTCAAAGCTTTCCTGGCCCCCCATCACGAAAACAAAGTCACGGAGGACGGCCACGCAGTGATTATACACGGGCCTGCTCAGCTTCCCGATCGTCTTCCATAAATGGCAGTGCGGGTCAGCAGCCCACACGTCCCCGCAGATGGCGTTGTCTGCCGATCTGCCCCCCAGGACGATCAGCATGTCGTTCCTGTTGCGAACCTGAGTGTGCTCGCTCTGGAGAACTGGCTGCGTGTATGGCTGGATGTGGTAGTCCAGAGCTTCTTGAAGGTACCGGCGGCAAGCAGGCTCGGTCTTCATGATGGGTATTTCCTGGACAAACGTCTGCAAATCTGGGAGCGGTATAAAGGGAAACCGGATGGGCCGCAGAACGTCAGCTGCGTCTTTCCAGCGTGCGCTGTCGTGGTCCAGCCAGCCTACAGCTGCCTGAAACAGTTCCAGTTCACTGAGCCCACTGGTGTCTCCTCTGTCTAAGAGTTCACACAGAGTCGTCTTGTCCAGCTCCTTCAGCTGCGCAGGATCCTTCAGGATCTCGCAGCAGTGCTTGCTCACGCAGCGCCGCGCTTTCTGTTTTAATTCTTCGGGGCCAAGCCCTTGAGTGATGCGGAGGACAGCAAGGCAGGTGTCCCGGTCCAAGGCTCCTTCCAGAAACTGGAAGGAGAGGCCCATCACCTCGCGCACCAGCAGTGCCTCTGCCGCCCTGAAGACCTCCTCCACCGTCTGCAGGGTTAGTTCCAGTCGGTTGGAGTAAACAAAAGACAAGACACCCTGCAGGCCCCGGGCGGTGACCGGTGGCGCCAGCTTGAGCTGAGTCACCTGGCTCGCCGCCTCCCCGGCAAAACGCACCTTGCAATAGCTGCTGGCCACGGCCAGGACGGCTTTGTGCGCGGGGAACGGGGCGCCCTCGGCTTCCAGCACCACGTCACACAGGGCATTCTGGGAACGCAGGCTCTGGAGCCCCTCTAGGAGTTTAGGCAGGTAGGTCTCCGAGCTAAGACTCTGAGCCTGAGCGACTACCCGGCCCCCAAGACGCTTCTTTCCCGGAGCCATAGCGCAGGAGTCTGCCAGAAGTGGCCCTCTTCCTACCCCAAAAGACTGCCGAGCCCCCCTCTGCCCTTTCAAAGCATCCCTGGGGCTTCTGAGACCTGTTCCTCTGGAGGCAGCCAGTGGGGTGGCTGGCCTGGGTAGCTGCGCTTCAGACGAGGCTCCTGTTTCCTGGGCTACTAGGAGAGCAGCTGGTCAGCTGACCCATCATTTCCAAGGCAGCGGGAACGTTCTCCTCCCCTCCGTCCCGTTGGTATCTGCCAAGGTGTGGCCGGTCCTCAGCTTCCTGGTCATGTCCGAAGTGGCCGACAGTGGGAAAAGTGGCAAGTCCAGGCTTGCCCTCTGCTTTTCAGATGGCGGGGAGGAAAACGGGCTGCTTCACCCTGGACTTTTCATGTGGTCTTTGGCCAGGAGGCAGCAGAGGGAAGAGAATCTGGCTTCTGCCGTTTCCTAGGATTCGTACCAAGGCTGAAGGAAAAGCAACGGGTTTAGCGAGGGGCGCTTGTGCGGTTTCTCTCCCAGAAGCTGCATTCTGGGATAAAAAGCAAATCTCCCCGTTGTACCTCGCAGCAGGACGCTTCAAAAGCACGGGCAGAGAGACAGTTCCTTTTGTCCGTCCTGAATCACATGCTCAGCCGTGGCAGAGAAGTGGGCTCGAAGGCATTTCCTTTGCCTGTCTTCTTCACGCTTATAATTTAAGGCTTTTTGTTCTTGTCAACTGAACAATCTCCAGCGCTTTAGTTTTTCTCCAAAGGTAGGTGTTCTAGCTTTGTAATGATTTTAGTTGGGCATCTTCCAAATAATTTTAATCTGACGCTTCGGGAGCAAGACGGAGCCTTCTGGCCCTCTCTGTAAATTGTTCAGGGTGGGCTTCATGGATGCTTGGTGGCCCCACCGAGGAGATTTAGGCTTAAGAAACTGAAACTGCCCCCTCCGTCCCTGTTCCCTTTGAGCACCTAACCTGGACAAGCAGTCACACCCTCTTTTCCTTGGTCTGCTAGGAGTATTTTACAACTCCACGGGGACTACTGTGTGTTTCGACATTTACAAGCTGTACCAGAAGTGCTCTGATCCAACCGGCTGTGGGACGGGTCCAGATGCTGGAGCTTGGGATTATCAGGTGTGTTGGGGGAAGAGCCAGGAGCATCAAGGGGAGCGTCCTGCCTCACCGGGGCTGGCGAGGAATGAAGGTGACTGCCGGGGGGCCAGGTCGCGGGAGAGCTGCCATTGAGCATATAAAGGCATTAGGTCACCAGCGATGCAACGAAGGGACATTTCCCAGTGAGACGGCAAATCTGCGGATGTTTTAATCACCATTCTGAGCAAGATTCCCCGAGCATCTTGCAGGCTTGAATGTTTCTCGCTGGGGGTCTCAAGTTTCCACCACGAGCAGCCAACTTCTCCCCCGCTGAATCCTGCAGATCCTGGGGTTGGCATGTTGCTACCTTCCCTCTGACTTGGGCGAGGCAGCATCGACGCAGCCTGTCAGCTCGCCCCAGAGCAGGATGAAACCCGTGCAGTCACTTCTTGTGGCGCCTGAGACTCTTCTCTGTTCCAGGCCTGCACGGAGGTCAACTTAATGTTCGACAGCAACAACGTGACCGACATGTTCCCCGAGCTGCCCTTCACCGATGCCGCCAGGGAACGCCACTGCTTCCGCAAGTGGGGAGTTTGGCCCCGGCCGTCCTGGTTGCGGACCAGCTTCTGGGGCAGCGGTGAGCGGCAGCCTCTCTTTAGCTCGCTCACTCACTCTGGGATTGGGCTCCGGAGGGGTGTCGCTCGCTCTTAGTGCCTTGGTTGGGCGTTGGGCTGCCTGCGAGCCTTAAACCGCATCAGAGCGTGGCCCGATTCACAGGGACGAGGCGGCACCCTGTGAAACGTGGCTCTTTCTGGGCCCTTGGCTGCACCTCTCGTGAGGTTAGAACTGAATGGCTTAGTGCGGGTACCCTCCCCCCTCCCCCCAAGGTGGGGGCTGCCCGTTCCTCGGTCTCCCCCTACCTTCCCCCCATTGGCTCAGCCCTTCGGGGCATTTACCTTTTTCATTCAACGGTCTTGCTGTTCTGCTTGACTGCTGCAGATCTGGCTGCTGCAAGCAACATCATCTTTTCGAACGGAGACTTGGACCCATGGGCAGCAGGCGGCGTAAGTAGCTGCTCGTGCGGTCTCTCTGAGACCACCCCCCGGATCTCCTCACATGCATCTACCTGGACCCATTTCCCGCCCCCCCCCCCCCCGTCTGACTCTCCAGTGTTGCCGTTTCAGGTGAGGAAGAACCTGAGCTCCTCCTTGACTGCTCTCATCATTAAGGGAGGCGCCCATCACCTGGATCTCCGGTACGTTTTGCAAAATTGGCTCAGCGAGGGCATCTTCCCCAGCTCCTCGGGTTATATAATTTGACCAAGGGTTGGCCTTTCCTCCTTATCCTCCCATCTCTCTCGTGTGAGAGTCTTTTTTACAACATATCCTGGAAGATGGGCCTATCAGCGAGTAATAGCTACACCGAAGGGGATTCGGAGACCATCCCACTCAGAGTACCCGTCGCTCCTGGCTTTTGAGCAAGGAGGGCCGCTGCCTCCTGGATCGCGCTGGCTTTCAGTGGCATTTCTGCAAACCCACGTGCCGCGCCAGAGGCCCCTTTGGTCTGATCCGTCAACCCTCTTCAGATGATGCATCAGGCCCTTTGTTTTTAAAAGCAAGCTTCTAAGAATTTTAAATGTTTTAGAAAAAGGAAGCCCTGCGATTTTGTTTCCTGAAAGGGAGAGGTTCGTCTACGGCAAGATAAAAACACCTTAAAAGCCTTAGTTCCCTGTGGCTGGGATGCTGGCCCTCTGACAAGCATCAGGGAAGGTCTGCTTCACTGGGCTTGTTTTTTCCCAACAGGAGCTCCAACCCAGCTGATCCGGCATCAGCCAGGGAAGCCCGGCTTCAGGAAGCCAGGATCATCCGGGACTGGGTGCAGTCGGCCACCGTTAAGGCCGCCAAGTAATCTCTGGGTTGCCAGCCAGTGTCTAGCAGAACCCCCCAGGACTGTTGGGGGCGAAGGGGGGGAATCTGCATGATGTCCTCTTTAGGCAGTGACGTTTTCTTTCCACAATGCTGAAGAATAATGAATAAAGCAGAAGATCCCTCCAGAGTAACTTCCGGGGTTGGGAGTGTTCATGGAGGCTGGAACGGCAGACATTCTTTCCACCTGTTTCTAAGAAAGGAGCCAGGGGTTGTGGGGGGGGGAGGGGAGAGTTCATGCCCAGTGCTTAGATGCATTGAGAAGACAGAAACCACTGGTCATTCTGAGCCAGGTCTAGGCACCTGGCTCTTGTGCTAAAATTAATTCAGGCTTACAACTTGTCCTCTCCTGAGGGATCGAAATCCTGCAGGCAGATGCTGACCCCCAGAACCCCCCTGAAAGCAACAGGTGTGCTGTCCTGAATTAGACCTCTGGACCACCTAGCCTGGGCCCAGAAGAGCCACAACCCAAGGAAAAGAGCTCATTTCCCTCCCCTGCTTGCTGACCCGATTTCGCTCTGGAGACCCCACCGATGAGGCCAGAGCTGGGTGCAGAAGAGTCCTGCCTGCGGGCTTTGTCAGGGGATGGTGCTCAGCAAGCAGACCTAATTTCTCTAGTGGTGCTGAACCCAGGGCAGGTTTCACTTCCCCGTGGCTTTTTTTCATTGAACCTCTCATGCAAAAGCCAGCCAAACCCATTCTAGCAGGGAGAGAAAAACATAAGCAGTAAGTTGCATGGAAGCCACAGTGTCTCAAAATAAATTACAAGTTTATTAAGGTGGGGTAGAATTCTGCAGATTAGCTTCCCAACTAAATTCACACAGGGTTCTGTTTCATTCAAAGAGATTCCTCCCACCTCTGCAAAAAGGTGAGGCACACTTAAAACCATTTGCACATTCACAAAGGTATCGGTTCTACTTCACAAATATCTTGGACCAGATCACACACCAACAAGGCTTCAGCAGTATGTCTTTTCTCAGGGAAAAAAAAGTAGTTTGAAAGTAATGATGCAGAGGAAATGGTGGGAGGGCACAGGGTGCTTCTGACAACACCGAGCCTCTCTACTGAGTTTGGCAGCCTTAAACCTGGCCTGATTTCCTGCCCATTTCCTGCAAATTGCCAGCTGTGCCCAATCATTCTTTCAGTAGAGAAGGGAGGGCAAGACTTCTGCTCTTAAGACATGGGAAGAAGAACTGGCCATGATAATGCGCAGCCTTAAGGCAAGACTGCAGAAAAGCTACATGAGGAATGCGTTCAGACTTGGCTGTGCAAAACAAACATGAAAATGACCTAAGTTTTCCTGAAGTGGTAAATTTCTCTTGAAATCTCCAAGAGTAGGAGGACATTTCAGCCATTGTGGAGAGCATGAGGCAAGTGGGAATTTAGAGCTGTACACCAATTTAAAAAAAAAAAACTGCACTGGGGGCAGAGGGGGGATTCTGCATCTAACTGAGAAGGGTCCAAGAAACAACCGTATTAGGCGGCCTGTTTGAAAAAGACTTGCAAGTTGTGGTGGGGGGGTGCAACCCGGCCTCTGTGTACTTTGTTTGCTGGAAGAAATCCTCACCTTTTGGTACCTGACCGCCCCAAACCTATCTTTCCCCTTGAATACAGAAGGCACCAATTCAAAGTAAAGTGTCAGCCTCCCAAAACTGGGGATTTAGAGTATGGCTTAAATTCCAGGATCTGTTTAAATGGGGAACAGAAAACTACACAACACTGGTCTGCAAGTGCCCCCCTCAAAAACAAGGCTGCTTCCCCCCCCCATCGTTCAGTTGGCACTTTGTGGCCAAAACAACAAACAAAACACTGACTTCATTTAAAAGAACGTGGAGATAGTGTGGTCCTCCAAAGGTCCACAGTTACAGTAAGAAGATTGGGGGGAAAAATTATGATGTTGATACTGTGCTTCAAGCATTCAAAGCACTTCATTTAATTTTCTCCACCCTAAAAACAACCAGCCTCACAACTGGGGCCATATTGCAGGGAGGAGGGAACCGAGTTTGAGAAATGCCACCAAGAGATTTGAATGATCATTTTCTCGATTCAGATTCTTGGTCACTGCATTGTTCGGTCCATAAGGTAACTCCAAACACCACCATCCTGGGTAACATGGATTTTGGGTCACACCTCACATACAAAAAAGAAACTGAGTGGATTACCGGTCCCCCTGAAACCATTTTTGCAGACAACAATCCAGCCAGAATTTTTCCTGCCACAGCTCCAGCAGCTTGTGCAGCCCCCCTCCACTCCAAGAGGGGCGATGCCAGGCAGGGGTTTAAAGCAGCTCTTCCAGCCTCAACAGCATCATGACCGGGTAACAGTGACAACCACGCTGCTTCAGAAAGCATGAAGGGTGCAGTCAGGGAAGTCCCCATAGGGAAAGGGTTGAATAAAAAAAGTCAGTCCCACCAAAGCTGGGGAGGATTGTCTCATAAATCTTCTCTCTGCCCCTCTTTTAAAGTGCTGAAAGTGAGCAATTGGGGAGAGGGAGGAAAATGAAAGCTAAAAAGGAATGCACCTAGTGAAGGCCGAAGAGACGGCGTAACCATACAAAGAACGAACTGGGAGGCAGGCTTGTAGCTGAATAAAAGGCTAGCACCTGCCCACACCGGAGAGCCTCGGAGAAGGGACACATCCTCTTATCCTGCAGGTTGCTCTTGTATTGACTCAGGGACAGACAGCAAGACCACAATGGAAGCGTAAAGCAGAAGCCCACAAGCCTTTGTTCCGTGTTTCAGTATAAATAGATCTGAGTTTGCACCTTTAGCGAGCTGCTTCCTCTGTGGCCACTATTTAAAAAGCCACAGAGCACAGGTGGGTTAATTGGCAGGTTTTTAAACCTGCATTTCCTGGGGGTTCTTTTCAAGCCAAATATGGGAGGCATCGCAGAAATCCTGCTAGCGTGTCTCCTAACGGGCCCAATTCACTCTGGGGAAACGGAGTACTGGAATTCCTTGTCCTCTGGGCCAAACCAAGGCCCCACCCATTTGCTCGTAAAGGCCAGTGGCCCACTCAGGTGGGCTCAACCTGGAAGAGGAACCCACACGTCCATCAGGTTCCCCCTCCCCTCAGGAAACAGCTCTCGGCAGAATACCTGAGCCAAAACATTATTCATATTATACATATATAAATTCCTATATAGATAGCCACCTCTGTTTTTGTTTTGTAACATAAATTTTCTTTTCACATTTTCCTCCCTGCACTGCTGCAGATAAGTTAAGAAAAAAAAAAAATAGATATATATCACCGTGCCCAAAACCAGCATCTAGCTTCCCAGTTCACCTCGGCACATTCCACCCGATTATTCAAAGCGCTCTTTCAGAATCAGGAGGTCGCTGTCAGCAATGAACACTGTTTTAGAGGGGCGTGTTTTCCTTCTGCCAGCACCATCACTACCACCTCCTGCCTTGGAATGATCCTGGGAAGTTACCACCACAGTGACAAGCGGCATGAATATCCGGGACAAGGCTACGTTTTCCTCTTTATGGCCTCCCCTGCGGAGATACGGTATGGAGACAACAGAACAATGCTGGGCCCTTCAAGGAGCACCCTCTCTTGCTAGGTCTGAGGGGTCAAAGTGAGCCTTGCTCTCCCCAGAATCCCACTTGTGCCAAGCAGGATCTGGCACTGCAGTGAACTGCTTGCCCATTCCTTGCTTGGGTGCCCGTATTTGGAGAGGGGGGAGCGATTCCAGGCCAAAGATCCACCTCCCCTCATATACAATTCCTTTTGGAGGCTCGCTTCACCAGGAACGTGGCTTACAGCCTTCGACACGCTTCCCTTCAGGTCCCCCGTAACTGGGGCGTGATTGAACCTGGGAACGGCAGACGCCCTGGCTTTCGTTTATGCTGATGGCCAGATAGGGAAGGGGTGGGCCTCTGTGTTGAAGACATACTTGTCCAGGTCGATCAAGTTCACATCATCTGAGAAGAGCAAGAAAAGGTACTTGAGCGTTTCACCCAGGAAAAAGCTCTCCATCTTGTCTCTCGGCTCTGGGTGGCTGGGGTTCTGGACATTGTCGATGGACGTGTAGCCGCCGGTCGGGACCTGGATGGAAGAACCCCAAGAGAGCAGATGTGAAATCGGAGGGCCGCCAAGGTTCATAGGTGCGGGGAGCTGTTAATTAAAAGCTTGCCTTGCTCCAGCCGATTCTCCCCAACTGTATTCCCTGCTGGAGCCACCCCAGGAGAAGATTATGCAGGGTCTTCTCCTTCCCTAGTTTTGCTCTGCTGGGACCCTGAGGGTGAAGCAGATGGTCCGGGCTGCCAGAGCTCAGATTTACCCTGGTGTATTTATTGAAGCTCTGCAGGATCTCCCAACCCCAGTCCTGGTACTTCTTATCGCCAGTGAATCGATACAGGTAGAAGAGGCTCTCCACGGTCTCAGGACGCAGGAGGTTGTGCCTATCTGCAGTCTGGGGAAGGGAGAGCAGAAGGGAAGACTTCTGGAACCGAAGGGGCAAAAGCCTACCGCACCGCTGGCACCCTATCGCAGGGCGTGCGTGACGTGCGGGGGGGGCTTGTATTTCTACATTGAGCGTCCACACCCCCGCATATGACTTGAAGGCTCGCGGCAGAGTGGCGGTTACAGACCAAGCTCTGAAGTGTAAGTCTCTGCTCTGAACTCAGGGCACCCAGGGCAGGATGGGCCCTGCTGAACCGCTCACCTTAATCTCCACGTCCTTCCGGTCCTTTTGCGCATGCATGTTGAAATGGACGATTTCGGGGCTCAGGCCGGTCTCCACTTGCACGTACATCTGGTAGCAGGTTTCTGCCAGCTCCGCTGCCAGGGTCATGTGATCTGCTGGAAGCCCATTGTGAGCTCCAAGGGCCAGGGCTCCGGGCAAGAAGCAGACCAGGTGATCCTGCTCCAGAAGCACAAGAATTTGTGAGACACCGACTCTCTCCAAAAGCCTCTCTTCTCTGCTGGAGATCCAGCACATCTGGCAGAGAACCATGGACCTGGGAAGCGTTCTTGGGCTGGGGCCCCACACACACTGGGCCTGTGGCCTACCAGCACTGCCTGCTGTCTTTCTGCCCCAGCGCCGAGAAGGGCTTTCTCATTCAAAATAGGGGAACTGATAACAAAAGTGAAGAAGGAAGGGGGAGGATCTGCGCAGGCAGATACAAACCCCTGGAAACAGCAGTCGCGGGAGAAGAGAAAGTGCCGAGAGTCCAGCGGTTTTCATGGGATCCGATTCCCCACGATGACCTTTGGACGGAAAGGCCCAATGAAAGGGCTGAAAACACAGCCCTCAAACGCCAAAGGGGCAGTTTGCTTAATTACGCAAATCCATCCTCTGCCATGCAGGAATTGGGGGATGAAACATGATTAACTGCTCAACAACACTCAGACGACTTGGTGAACATGGGGAGCATTTGGCTGCCGAAGGGGAAGCAAGTCAGACTCTGCACCGTTCCATAGCACACCCCGAGACTGAGAACCTCCGTAGGAGCAGCGTTATGGAAAGAAAGCTGCTGCAGGAATAGCAACCCCCTGCCCACCCTCTTCCCCTAAAAGGCGGCTTACCATCTTCGCACTGAAACGGCCATGAGCGAGCTCGCCGACAAACGTCAGCCTTCTTGGCTGGGATTTCCGAAGCAGGTGCCTCTTCACACCCTCAATACCCTTCACGTAGTCTTCCAAGAGCCTGCCGTTGCGGAACACGCGGTCGTTAGTGGCTGTTTAAAAACAGGTTTACCTCCTGCTAGCAAAGATACAGAGTTAACTAGGTTCAGTGAAGAACGCCAGCCCTAAAGCTTCTTCTGTATTTTGGATCCATCCTTCATGTACAATTACCTTCAGGCCATAAACTGGAGAAACATTCACACATTATATCTGAGAACTGGTGTATGTGGGCACGTGCATGGTTTTCTGAGAACAAAGGAACGCAGCTTCAGGGAAGTATTAATGTGTGTGAGGGGGCCAGATTCCAGAAGGCACCGCCATTTCCATCCCGACTTCAGATCAGCCCAAATTCCATTTCTGCATGAAGCTTGCAGAAAAAGCCCTGGAATTCTCCACAGAAAATAACGCTTATTCTAGAGGTCATAAAAAAGAAGGAAGAGAATTTTATAAGAATTTACTCATTTTCCTTTTTCCCTCCCTGGATCCACTGCTTGAGCAAGTATTCGTAGTAGCTGTCTGCTCGAGCCCCGAGGGTGTAGACCCCGAGATGTGTGAACTGCCCGCTGTTGGTGTTGATAAACATGGGCACCAGGCCATCATTCTTGCCAGCAAGGGAATGGACGTGTTTCATCACCCTGTCCACAGCATTCTAGGAAGCAAAGGAACAAACAGTGAAGCTTTTTGTACACATCCACTAACAGAACCACACCCAGAAAGAACAGTACACAAACAGGTTTTTGAAATATGTACAGGAACTATAATTCTGGGGGATTGGACCCAGTTCCATCCAGCCTAACCCCGTGGGGGCCATACTGTCCCCAAGCAGAAATACAAGAAGCCTTTACTAGACCAGTCTGAGAGAAGCTGGTCCCAGGCTGAGAACCTGAGGCTGAACTCTATGCTCCCAACGTTCCTTCTCTTTCTCATCTCCTGCAACAAGAACCTCGCCAATGACTATCCCAAAAGCTAAGGAAGAGATGTTTCCACTTCTTGGTTAGACGGTCTCTTCCGCGTGACGGCAGTAACTTAAAGAGGAGGGAGCCCAGCAACTCCACTCGCCCAGTACCTTAAATTTCTCTTCCCCCGTAAGGCGCGAGAGCTCCCTGAATTCCAACTGGATGCTGGTCACTTCGGCCACGGTGCTGTCAGAAGTCCAGCGTGGGGGGTGGGCCGTTCCTCGCCCGATGTTGACGTCTGAAAAGGGGATCTTGGAGGGGGTGTTGAAGGCCGGCATGAGCCTGCTCCCGATATCTTTCTGAACAACGGAGAAACAGCAGGGCGGGAGAGTGAGAAAGAGCAACCGAGCACACAGTTAAGTGCCGGGAGAGGGAAGGGACCGATACGGAGACTGCTCCGAAAGGGCAGGGATCGTCCTGGGGCCTTGGAAGGCAGACAGGCTACTTACAGCTTTTTCCAGGAAGAGGCTGTCCCCAGACAGGTGGTAGGTGCTCAGCAGGCCCCCGAGGATACGAATGGCGCTCTCAAAAAGGTTGACGTCCACGTTTTTGTTGAAGTTCAGCTCCGTGGCAACCCACTCTCTTGCTTCTTTGAACTCTACGTCAGAGAAAGGAAGCAAAGAAGCTCGAGCCAGCCACTGGTGGTCTCCTCCCATATGGGAGAGGAAAAGCTCGCACAAGTGCCTGTCTCCAGACCCTGCCTGCTCGGTGCCCCCTCCTGAAAGAGGAGCCCTTCCCCACATCCAGGCTATGGCACAGACTCAGTCGTTTGGGGCGAGAGACTATTCCTGCACTGTGGATGCTTTATCTGCCACACACTGGGCGCTGTCATAACCTTTCTCCAAAAGGCATCCTCTGGAGACGCTGCCGTGCTGGAACAGCTGCGTCAGCTTACGAGAATGGCGTTGGGCGGGCTGACAAAGGTGGAGAGAAGAGAAGGGCGCCCACTGTGCACACAGCCTGAGCACTTTCTCCTGAACCCAGGTTTTCCTGGTTGTGGGAGGAAGGCAGAGCCAACAGCTGGAGAAAGCCAAGGAACAGACCTGCCTTAAGGCCCAAGATCCACATGGTGTCCAGCGCATCGATGAGTGTCAGTCCAAGGCCAAACCATTCGTTGAAGGACTTGGAGATGGGCTTGAGCTCGTCATGGCCCCAGGCAAACTCCTTGTAGCCTTTCCACGCGTGGCGGAAGGCTTCAATCACAGCCAGCTGGCGCTCGTTGAGGGGCACTAAAACAGGAGGAAAGAGCAGTCAGGAGCCACCCTTTGGGGAAAACAGAGTCACAACAACTCCCCATAACAGGAAAAGCTCCTGTGGGCTCCCACATCAGCAAATACACTGGAGAGCCATCTGGGTGAAGCTGAGCCCTGTCCCAGTACCTGGCTCTTTCTGGTCTTCCGAAGCCACAGGAGAAGGCCTGCCCAGATCGTTAATTTTCTTGGAAGGCGGCTCAGGGCTCGGGTCGGGCTCAATCACAGCTCCTCTCCAACTGCAAAAAGAGGAGCATTGCAAAGACTCTCACTCCTCCAGAGTCATTCACTATGCTGCAACTACAGTGATGTCACAAAGACCTCCCCAGTCGAGGGAGGGCATTTCCCGGCACCCTCAACGCTGCTGTCAAGTCCACGATGTCCAACTCTCAGTTCTGAAGCA